TATTTAAAATTATAGTATATATATACATACATACTGTACATACATATGCATGTAAAACTGTCAGATACATGCACAATAAAATGCCTGAAATTGTGTGTTAAAAGTTTCAGTGATATATACTAAAATTTATATGTTAGAGTGCATGTATACCAGGGTTTTAATTTTAATAGTAGCTAGTCTGAAATTACAGTCTGTACAAAAAAGATACATGTTTTTGATTTTACTGTCATTTAATTTTAGTTACCAGCAATTTGTAAAACCTGTTGCTAGCAATGTGGAAGTTATAGGATGCCATTGGCAGAGCCTGTTTGGTTGATTACTCAAAAAGAGTGAGCTACTGCCTGAAGAATATCTGGTATAGTTTTAACTGTCTTCCATGCAGTGGTTCTTTTATCTTAGAGATTAAGTCAGACACAGGGGCTTAAGTCTGGAGAGTATTGCAAATGATAGAGAACTTTGTGGAATGTACTTGAGTGTTGTCATGCAAGATGATAAATGGGTTCTGCAGAAAGTGTTTGTTTTTCTCTCAAAGCTGGCTGCAGCTTGTTATCCAAAAATGTAGTGTAATACTGCACATTTCAAGTCTGGCCTGGGATACTGCATGCATCAAAATAACATTGCAATCATATACAAGAATAACTGTGTATGGTTTGAAATTTTAACTTTAGTGGTGACTTGCAACAATACTACTTGTTCAAATGCCATTTCAATTCTGGCTTGTATGATCTTGCCCTTGTCTCATCCAGTGTAATGATACAGTTTAATAAAGCCCCCTCCTTCACGCTTATAGCATTGAAAGTAAGTACAAGCAGAGTAATTGATAACATTGCCATTTTTGCATTTCACACTCAAGATATACAGAACCCTTATTTGCTCTTAATCTGGTGAACCCTGGGTTGGGCCATGGATGAAAGACCTTCATCTCTATCTTTCCATCACTCCTCTATTACATTGTTAAATCTTTTTCTGAGGTCTTCAGCTATCTTGTCCATCCACTTCTTCCTTTCATCTTCTCCAATACCAACTTTGGTATTCCATTCTCTTGATGTGTCCAAATCATCTGTCTAATTTGGTCTACCTCCCCAAATTTTCCATTTCTGTTTTTTCCTTTATTTCTTCATTCCTTGTCCTGTCTCTCTGGTCTTACTCAGCATGCTCCTGAGGAATGTCATTTCTGCTGTCTGGATCTTTGTCTTCTCTTCGTGATGTAGTCCATGCAGCTCCATAAGTCAATACAGTGGGTGATCGGTTAATGCACAGTTCGGACTTTGAACAAATTGGATAACGAACACTTTCACAAAATATTTTTGTTTGGACAACGAACACTTCACAGAACAAACACAAGAAGAAGTGCCGTAAAATAACCAATGCCGTTTGGTTTTCCCTTGTCTTCAGGTAACAATTCAAAACTTTTTGGGGCACAGTAGATGTTGACATCGACGCTCAACCCTATACCGATCAGATAGTATTCCTCCAAACTTTGAAACTCTCCCTTGTAATTCCAGCCGTTTATTTTTCTGACAGAAACAATTCTTGTATAGTATTTGTAAGACTGTCAGGCAGGGACTGGTTACTTCTGAAAAATCCTAAAGAAGGGGAAAAAGCAATCTACATTAGACAGATTTTTTAACCCCCACAAATGGAAAAACATGACTAATAAAAATGCAAGACTGTGTATATATATGATTTTATTATTACATTTATTTACATAGTAAGAAAGTATATATATTTTATTTTTTGGAGTTTCCAGAACGACTTGATCAAATTCCCATAAAAACCTATAGTAAATAGATAATCGGTTAACAAACATTTCGGATAGTGAACAAAGTCTTGGAATGGATTATGTTCATTAACGAATCATCCATTGTATTCGGACAAAGTATAATTGATAAAGAGCTCCTTTACATTTAAGTGGCACTTCTTCCTTTTTCCAGATCAAAGTTCTCATTCTCTGGTAGTAGCCATCAACTTGCTATATTCTTTTGTAGAAATGGGCTGGCAGAATTACATTTTAATAAAACATAAAANTGGATTATGTTCGTTAACCAATCATCCATTGTATTCAGACAAAGTATAATTGATAAAGAGCTCCTTTACATTTAAGTGGCACTTCTTCCTTTTTCCAGATCAAAGTTCTCATTCTCTGGTAGTAACCGTCAGCTTGCTATATTTTTTTACTTATTTCTTTGCTTAATTTCCATCATTTGATATTTTTGTTTCTATGTATCTAAAGCTGTCAACATCCTCCAGTAAGTCTTCATTCAGTTTGAATTTTTCCCTCTCTTTTCCTGAGTACTCTTTCACATCAAAACTGTCTTACTTTTCTCTTGGCTTATCTTCAGTCCTCTTTCCTCTAGATCCCTGTTCCACATATCTGGTTGATGTTGGACTTTTGTCTCATCAGTACTATGTCATCTGCTGTATGCAACAACTGTGTCTCTTGGTCTAACTCGTGAATTATTTGTGCCAATCTGTTTCTAGTAATGTGGAAATAGCATTTACTTGTTCTTCACTTGCACAGGGATGAACTGGATGATGCTTAACTTTTGTATTTTTTGTGTTCCTTGTTGAAAACGTTTACATATCTTGCTATTGCTGTATAATGTATATGGTAATGCAGATTCTCCACTAGCTTCTGAATCTTTTTGTGACTCTATTGTGCAATATAACCTTTGGCACTTCAATTTTTATCCAACTTTGCTGCTCAAATTTCAAGAACATCACGATAGACCTTGCTCTTTTTATCACTGTGCAGGCACATGGAGGTGGATGGTAAAGTCCATTTGCTTTGGGGTAAGGTAGGTACAGTAGACCCCTATAACACTGTTGATAATTCTGTTTTATATGAATTCCATGTTGTACAAGTCACTTAGATTTTGCAAATATGTGTGCCAGGCTGTGAACGGCTCATGTATTTGTAAAATCTAAGCGACTCGTACAACATGGAATTCATATAATACCGAATTATCAACACTGTTATAGGGGGTCTACTGTATATAACCATTTGGTCTAGGCAGTTTTAGCTGGTTGTGTTTTGTTGGATTATTATCTTACTGTTATGCTTTTAAATTTCCAACATATGTACTTCTATCTTCAAGCAAATCTTATTGATGTTTATTACATCACACTTTATCCACTTCTATCTAAAAACATGCAACAATTATAGATATGAGGAATTTGAAAATTATGACATCACAAAATGCATTAGAATAATGCTTAGTGTAGAAAGTGTGCAATCAAGTCAATTACATATTAACGTTCAAAAAAATTTTATAACTTCCTTTGCTACCTAATTAAGTCACAACTGGATTTATTTCTATATACAGTGAAACGTTGAGTTAATAACAAAATTTTGAGTACCGTATTTTTTTTTTTTGGATGCCACACAGTAACTCAGTTTCTAAACATACTACTCTGCACAGCTGGCCATCGATGGTCAACTTCCTATGTTAATGAAAGTCTACGGGTCCAACTAATCGGCGACAGGGCTACAGATTTAGAACTTAGTGGTGCCGAGATTGCCTTGTGTCATTAGATGTTGCAATACAAATCATCAATAATGTTGTTGTTCAAATTATTTTTCAATGCTCATGGGAGTAAGATCTTTTGTTTTTTGGAACAAGTTGCAATTCAATCTGAATGAAATTAATAAAAAACTGTGTTAACTGTCATTTACATTAGACAGAATTATATAACCCAACAAATAGGGCATAACATTTTTGCAGGGCTTATCACACCAAGGCCGACTGAAAGAAGGACCAGAACTTTTATAAAAAAGGGGTGGTCTTTAATAATCACATATCAAATTTAGGTAAGTATGCATTTCGGGTACAAGAACCCCTCATCAGCTTACAAACACATGGTAACAACATAACAAATACAAAACCAATAATCTGTCAATACACCGGGATAACCCACGTATGCAGTACACTGCATTTACAATTTCTCAATGTAACACGTACACTAAACTAAATTAATAAGTATAAATCAGAATACAATGAGAATGTGGTACTGTATAACATATTAACTCCACCAGTAAATGTCTTAGTTTCTCCTACATTTTCCAAAATCTGGTAGACGGTTACACTATTAATAATAAATATTGTTAGGTATATTAAACCAAAAACAAAAGAGGGGAAGTTAACATTGAACTTACTCTTATTAAACCAATTGGTCACCAGATTTTAACAAAAACAAAATACATCCGATCTATAAGCCATTGTGAAGTCAACTGTACTGACCAGGTGCTGTACTGGTCAACTGTACTGCATTTTACAAGGTGATGTGCCTATGTCAGATGTGCTTACATCTGTTTGGCATCTGTTTCAAGGTTAAGTGTAAACAATGTCAATCCACCCCTCATGTAGCTTCAGTCCTGTGTTGTTATTAATTCTGATGTCTTCTTGTATCTTTAGAATTTCTAGGTTTTCCTGTAGTCTTCTTTCTAGTTGATTGTTTTCTGTCATAATACACTTGATGCTATCTTTTAAAATTTCACACCCTTCAGTGTTGCAATGTTGTGCCACTGATGATGATATCAAATTATTTTTGATGGTATATATATGTTCTTTAATTGTTGTCTTTAATTTTCTCCCAGTTTCCCCTACATATCTTTTTTTATGTGAACAACTGCAATCCAATGAATAAACTACATTATTTTTTTCCAGATCATTATGTTCATTGTTACCATGTTTACTGATTAACAATTTTGCTATGGTGCTTGTGTGGTTTGGTACTAAAATAATATCTAGTTTTTTTNGCTATGGTGCTTTTGTGGTTTGGTACTAAAATAATATCTAATCTTTTTAATTCATTTTTTAATTTTTCAAAAACACCAAAAACATATTCTATTTTTAGGTACACAGTCTTAACATCTATTGGTTGTCTATTTAACAATATATTTTTCCTTTTGCCTTTACTTGCTTCCAACCACTCAATAATGTTCTAGGGTAATTATTTAGATTAAACATTCTTATTATATTTTGTATTTCCATTTCTTGATCAGTGTGCAAGGTCGTTCTTTCTTTAATTTTGTTGATATACATTTGAAAAGTGTTCTTTTTTATATATAAAGGTATATTAGATTTGAAGTCAATAACTTTATCGGTAGCACAGTCTTTAACATATTTTTTAAATAATAATTTGCCATTTAATCTAACAACAGTAAGATCTAAGTAATTCAGTCTATTATCTACTTCTTTTTCACATTGAAATTGGACATTTTTATTTATTAAATTAATTCCACAAACAAAGGAGTCAATATCTAGTATGCTTTTATCATAGATGATAAAACAGTCATCTACACATCTTTGATAACTTATTATGCCACGGGTTTTGTTGATTTCTTTATCAATTGTGATCATACACAACTCAGCCAATCTAGGACCTATGCAGGATCCCAATGGAATACCTTCCGATTGGCGGTAATATTTACCTTGAAATTCAAAAAAGTTATTATTTAACACTAATTTAACCAATTGGTTAACCCAATCTGGGCTCATCACATAGGACAGTGAATTTAAAATTAATTTATTATTATTGTCATTTACATAATGTAAACGACATTCATGAATTTATGTTTAAAGGTGTTAAACTCAAATTAAATGACAAATTTATTAACCGTGAGTAGCCATTTAATTAAAGCTAAAAATAAGTAAAACTCTGGGAGTTTTACTTATTTTTATATTAAAGCCAGAGCCTTTATACTGAAAATAAAATCAATCAATTAATTTAAATTAAAAGTGAAATCAAATCAATTGAAACACACTATATCTGAAAGTGTAGTTGTTTGTTTGCTTACTATGTGCAATGAAATGAAGTGTGGTCTACAAATTACTTCAATCTCAAGTGCTTGTCTCTAAGATAGCCTGGAGTTATATGTCTAACAATTTAAATGTTACAGGTTATTTTGTGCCTGGAAAATAAAAAACATTTTCTGGTCCCGAAAAACATCTCAGCCTTCCCATTATTTATTTCCAGCTAAACGTGTTTCACAATAGCTCATGCTATTGCAAAGTTTGAAGGGCTCCGTACAGGAGGCCGATCAAGGACATTCTTATGTAAACAACAAAACATCAATTATTCTTGGGCATAGCAACTATGATGAGCTTTTTCAAAAGTATTCCTCTTGGAATTCAATTAACTTTTGTTTCTGCAAGACTTTGAAGATGTGTAGTAGTATAGTCAGTGCAACTATAGTTGACCTATGTTTTGGTTCATTTTTGCATTTTTAAGGAGTGATAGAATTATTTATGAATGCCCAAATATTCCCTTGGACTTCACTTTGTCTCGAAAAGGGATTGAGCGAGAGTGTTTAATTATATTAGCAGTATTAACTTCAGTTAAATGTTTATATTTATTAAAAATTCTTGATTATAAATTAGGACAATAGGTCTCATGTTATTAATTTACAAACTATGGCAAACAATAGTCGTGCCAACTATATATCATTTTGAGCCGTTCTTCAGAATTGCCTTTGACACTTTGACCACTTTGTTCACTGCTGTCGTGGACAGGAAAAGTGTTCTCTGTGGCTTCAACTTTACTACTGGGAATACGAAAAAGTTGCAGGATGACAAATATTAGCTATATGTTGTGTGTGGGAACTGTAAAATTTTTTGTCAAAAACTCAATTGCCGCATTAGTAGTTTCCGTGTGTACATTTTCATTTTGTCATAAGCAAATGGCAAACATTTGTTTTGCTAGCCATAGTGTGTAAACAAAGGGTGATGCTTATGTATAATTTTATGAATATATATGCTGTACTAGTAACTTCCTGACAACAGTCAAAATCAGAAAATTATTAGTACTATACCGTTGACAAGAAAAAAATCAAATGTTTTGCCTCGCTCTCATAGTTTGTATTTTTTTATTTAAATAACATTTTTATAATGTTAAAACAATGAATTATCTGTAATGTTTAACTTTTTTTTAGATACGATTTCTTCTTGGTATCACAGAGTGTTCGACAAGGGACGGTCTCTCCAACACAATATAACGTGATATTTGACACCAGCGGTTTGCCTCCCGAACACATTCAACGACTGACGTTTAAACTAACTCATCTCTATTTCAATTGGCCAGTAAGTAATGTTTTATACCGCACGTTACATATCTTAATAATTTTTAACACGTTACTTAGAATTACAACTTGAAAAAATTTGGATAAATAGGCAAAACAGCCAGAATTAGCAAAGCAAAATTTGATTTTGATTAAATTTGAATATACCTTAAATGTTACTAAAAGCAATATTAATTTCATTGTGATTTTGCTGCATCATGAATTCTCTCTTCAATACGAGAACAGTTTAGGAGTTAAAATCATTTTCATTCGCTGATTTTTTTGAAATACTATTAAAATATTGTATTTTTTTGAAATCTTAATTTGCAGTGTTGGGCAATAAAAAAGAGGGGAAAGGAAAGCTTTCTCTTTGGATACTAAAATGTAAAATTTTTAGATTAAACTTCCTACAGGAAAATTTTTTATAAGTAAGCATTTTTACTTTCCTGGCTGTTTTATATATAACAGAAGAAAAGTATGGCAATCGGGCATAAAATGACCATTTTAGATTTTTACACTTTTTAACTTAGGACATCGAAAAACATCGAAATGAAAAAAAAATTGGGGGTAATTTATATACGGGCGAATGTTAGTTTGTGGGTGGGGGCACAATTTTGTTTACCCTGTTTGAAGCTTAAATTAATAAGCCCTTTTTTTATCGGNCTTCAGATGTTAATTTAGTATCAAAAACGTAAAATATTTGAGTAGCCCAAGTCATAGCCAAAGATTGAAGCTCCACAGCACTGGCGAAAATTTAAATTTGCCGACTGGAAATCTTTCGGATGATTGACGTTTCGGATGATTGACTTTCGGAAAATCGACGATCTACTGTATTTTTATATGCATCTAACATCTTAATATATATTTATACATTAAATTACAAAATAGACTCAAAGCTGAGAAATACAAGAAAATTTTGCCAATAAAATGCATTTCGCTTTAGTTCTTAAAAATCTCTCTTCACTCCCTTTTTCAACATCAATTTCACCATTGATGACCCGATTTGCAATGGAAAGTATGGTGAAAGGTGTGGAATTTTATTATCTTTGACATAATCCACGAATGCATATACACACCTCTTCGAGTACAAAAAACTACTGTAAAACACCCAAATATGAAATCAATTGTTCATAAGTAGCTATGGAGAAAGAAAATAAATCGCTTTAACGGTAGTGTCAGTTGTCTGCAACACTTATTCGTCGAATGTATGTTACATTAGTTTGTGACGCAACTAACCTTGTTTAATATGAATAAAATAATTTAATGTAAAAATATAAATTATTTTTAAAATTAAATGGATTATTTATATATTCAAAAATTCGAGTGAATAGTAATAATATTTTAATTTCGTATTAATATTTTTAGTTTCGTAATTCGGCCATTTTGTCAATACTTTTGTTCGAAATCAACCAAATTCATAACAAATATGTTAAATATTAAAAGTATATTTTATTAAGAATTCAATCAGAGAGTAAATACAAAAAGTACTTCGATAGCTTTTCCTTTATTATATATTGATTTTATTTACATAACAAATATAACATAGTAAAAANACCGCACGTTACATATTTTAATAATTTTTAACACGTTACTTAGAATTACAACTTGAAAAAATTTGGATAAATAGGCAAAACAGCCAGAATTAGCAAAGCAAAATTTGATTTTGATTAAATTTGAATATACCTTAAATGTTACTAAAAGCAATATTAATTTCATTGTGATTTTGCTGCATCATGAATTCTCTCTTCAATACGAGAACAGTTTAGGAGTTAAAATCATTTTCATTCGCTGATTTTTTTGAAATACTATTAAAATATTGTATTTTTTTGAAATCTTAATTTGCAGTGTTGGGCAATAAAAAAGAGGGGAAAGGAAAGCTTTCTCTTTGGATACTAAAATGTAAAATTTTTAGATTAAACTTCCTACAGGAAAATTTTTTATAAGTAAGCATTTTTACTTTCCTGGCTGTTTTATATATAACAGAAGAAAAGTATGGCAATCGGGCATAAAATGACCATTTTAGATTTTTACACTTTTTAACTTAGGACATCGAAAAACATCGAAATGAAAAAAAAATTGGGGGTAATTTATATACGGGCGAATGTTAGTTTGTGGGTGGGGGCACAATTTTGTTTACCCTGTTTGAAGCTTAAATTAATAAGCCCTTTTTTTATCGGAACTTTCTCTAATTTTACAGGGAGGTTTGTTTATTAGGGAATTGATGCTATTAAATATGTTTTGGGAAAGTCGAGCAACTCCTTTCATCAAACAATAAACCAGCAAGAGAACCATTAAGAAGAGCGAAGTTACTATTAGAAAATGTTTTGTTTCTCACACAAAATTAAGTACTAAGTTGTTACCACAAAGAAAATATATTTTAAAAACAAATGCCACCAATAACGTAGAAAATAACTGTCCAGAAAGAATACCAGTATACGGAAATGCCATAGTCAGATTAACAGTTGGGACCGATTGCATCTGCTCGGTTGAACAAAATTTGCAAATTTTTTGCAAGTAAATGTTGGCTAGTGAGATTTCTTTAAAGTTATCCACTTTGTAATATAGAGATTAAAGGTATAATTGCATCTTCAGATGAGCCGCTGCCAAAGAATTTGCTTTAAAATTTAAGTGATGGAGTTTGGAATGGAAACAAAACTAGTCTTTCTTTTCTTTTTTCTTCTGAAAATGCCAGCTAGAATCAATGTAGCAAAATCACTGAAAATCGTTAGGGGATGGAAGGTGTCCGAGTACACCGCTAGTTTTTTAAATGGCAAACAAAAATGCCCGAGTGAGAACCAAAATTTTTACCAATTAGTTTGATAAATGTTTTATTTCCAAGATGAGATGTTTTTCCTTTCTAATTAAACTCAACCGATCGAGTTCTATTGTTAGTCTTCTGGTCATCCAAATGCGCAAGGATTTTGATTTTGCTTTTGCACGATTTCCTCAAGTGCGCGAGGCCAGACAGAGAAGCCTAAGCTTAAAGGAGGATGCACACACGCGACATTGCAACGAAAAGCAGTGTGACACGCAAGCATTCAGTATTTAAGATGGTGAACGATACCGACACTGCCCTTATCCACGTGTTTATAAATTTTTTTGTACGGCTCGCTGTATTTAGCTAGAAAATTTTGGATTAAAGACATTTTCTTGGATGGAGAAAGAACTGGTGTACAAAATACGCTTATCCTCTTTATTCCGATTGTGGTTATCTCGCTTAACCGCGTCCAACTTTTCGCCATTAAAACCACGTGATTGTATTTTCTCACGCCACTACCGGACGAATTGTTATTGGCCGCAAAAGACAGAATTCAACCAACTTCTGCCACGAAAAAAGTGACGTCGTTCTGCCGCGTGTGTGCATCCGGGTTAATGATTCGTGTTTAATGTTAAAGAATGTGCAATTTTTACGTAATTTGACATTTAAAATACTTTACCTTTTTGTTCTTTTTCATTTGGAATATTCTGTTGCTTCGTTAGCTTCCAAAGTCTCTCGTTTAAGAACCTTAAACAAAACAATTTAATATAATATCGTTGAAATTTGTAAACGATTATCCACTTTTAACAAAGATCAATTATGAATTTTGTGAGTAAATTGCTGCCACAGTTTTATGTAAGTGGATAATCAAATTACAAGTAGATTATATTAAGCTTTTATAAAATTGTTAAAAATTTATATAGATTCAATCGAAAAAAGCAGATCTTGCTTTTACGATCTAATTTGTACTTGAAATTTGTAGTTAAGTATAAAGAGAACCATTTTATTTCCTGTAAGCTCAGTATTATGCGGGGTAAATTAAGATACGTTCCTGGAACTACATGTTTAAGTTTGTAATATCACAGAGATGTCCAACGAAGTGTACGGTAACATAACAGCATTTTCCTACATCTGTAGTCACAATAGAAAATTTATTTTAGTTATAAACATAGTTGTAAAGTGATGTGGCCAGATTTATCTGTAAATTTCAACTAAGTTGCAACTTAGGTCTTCTCCTTTTTTGAGCCTCATTCCTTTGAGATCGATTCTTCATTTCTTTCACTTGGATATTTATTTACATTAAAAATTAAATTGTAGCTTAATTTGACTGCCTACACCAATTGAAAAACTTGTTTTAAGTTTTTGTTAGAAGTGCTTATTTTTGAAATTTTTTGATAATGAAATTTTAACATTAATAAAAAAAAATAATAAGTTTAAAAATTTTAAAAGTACTAATCAGTTAAACGTATGAAGTCCTTGCTGGCTCCATATCAGTTATGTGATAGGTTGTCTACTGACTTGTGACTCATGTTTTCATTTTAAGCTGGAGATAATTTTTAACGTTTGCTTTGTGTATCGTGTCTTCTGTTATAACTGGTAATGTATATGACCATGTGCCGTGGCCTGGTCATATGCATTAAAAAATCGTTAAAAATGGGAAATGTAAATCTTCAAAATTAATATATTTTTGTTGCTATTTTCTTGATTATAGTCTTACTAAAACGAAATAATTTTTAAAATGGAGAACAAGTCATACATTGATATCATATATTTGTCTGGGATATTGTTTGTTCTTTTTGGCTACCAATAAATGATACTATCTAAAAAAATCTGTCCACGAAAGTGAAGCCATCTTGCTTGAAACATAAGACAGTAATATGTATGTGACAAAAGTGTAATGCAGCTAAGCAAGAGATGCCAAGTTTTGTTTGCTAAAGCTGATAAAGTATACAAAACTTCGTTCAATGAATGAAAAATACAGACAAAAATAGAATAACTATAAATCATTATTCCATAAACTGAGTATTCACTAAGCTGTAAGTGTAATTAGCCAGGCTGCAATGGATTGATGCTTAGATGCTATCAATTTCGTAGCTACCTATAACAAACATTCACTTTCTTCTGCTTGAAACAAATGATGAGCTGTGATGAAATCATTTATTAACCATTGATAAAATGTTTATCAGATACCGGATAGGAAGCATATGCATATGACGTTTCAACTAAATAAAATAATTAAGACTAAAGGTTAAGACTTAAGACTG